CACAGCCATGCTCAGCTGGAGCATTCCTAATTCAGAGTCAGATAAAAGGCTGGAGGCTAACACTTGAAAAGGCTCAAAGGCCTCAACCATAATGAGCCATAGCTCTAGGACAGGCTCCAGTCTCCAAAGTCTTGTGGGATTTCCCTGGCCAGAACAGGAAACATGAGGACCTAAGCCTCACCAGCTGCTTCCCCCATCTCCACCTCCTCCCGTCTGTAAGGACCCATTTCCAGTTGCCTACTTCATGACACAAATATTAAGTGAGAATTTTCAGATCGACTCAGCAAGATGCCTTTCTCTGTTCCCGTTTTCATTCCTTGATCACTTCTTACCCCATCCTGAAAAATAACCGCTGAATGAGTGAAGAAAATCCACATGCAATGGAGAGGGCATGAGACAGGGTCTCATGTAGCTCAAGATGGCTTCAAACTTGCTACGTCCTACCAAGCCCAACTTACGTGTTACTGTGGTGGAACCTGCTTAAACTCTATAGCCCCTCCGTTGAGACCTACTTTAGTTCTTGGCTCCTCTGTGAACACCTGCTGTTGCTTTTAGCATATCAGAAGCCATTTTGTCTCCAAGTCTCCATTTTGATCATAAGGTGAAATTAAGTTCAAGTTCTTACGCCTATGTGCCTGAGACCAGGATGTAATTCAACAGGTCAACACTTGCTGCTTAGAATAAAACAACAGATGATAAATGCATGTTTTGCTTGAATTAAAGATAAATGTATGTTCTGTTAGAGGTAAGATCTCTTCATCCTGCTTTGTTCCTTACCCCCAGGAAGCCAGAAAGTCCCTAAGAGCTTCCCTACCCTAAATCCCAGCCAGTCAGCTTAGAGTGCTTTGTCTATCAAGCTATATACAACACTTGGAACAAAATAGATTATGTTTAGTTAGTCAAAATGATATAATGCTGCCCCCCCCCCCGCTTCCTATACCTGGTTACCTGTGTTACCTGGTTATGGGGTTTTGGATAAAAAAGCCACCTTAGAAACATCCCAGCATCACAGCCTGACTAGTCCAGATTACGGCCCTGGTCGGCCAGTTCTTGTTCAGCGTTCAATAAACTTCCATCAGTCTGAGTCTGGTGTCCAAGTAGTCAGTGTGTGGCAATTCCTGAACCCAAAACAACTAGAAAATTGAACCCAGGGCTATATGCATGGTAGGTAAACACTTTATCATCTGTGCTACACTCCCAGTTCTGGAGATGACGTTTAAAAAAAAATCATCCACTCCCAAGTTCATTCTGCTAATTAGATTAGTATATCTTTTTTTTTTTTTTAATGTTTTGAATTTTGAGACAGGTTTGTTCCATAGCTCAGGTTACTCGGGAACCTCTCGTGAGGCCTCTGCCTCAACTTCCTGAGTACTGGAATCACATCTGTGTGCCACCGTATTTAACGACATTAGCACACTCTTGATTTTCCATTTCCCACACAATACAAGGAAAAGAAACTTCAAAAAAATTAATTTTATCTGTTGGGTGTTTTGCCTGCATGCATATCTGTGTAACACGTGGAGGCCAAAAGAGGGCACTGGATCCCCGGAACTACAGTCAAAGACAATGAGTTGCCATGTGAGGACTGGGAATTGAACCTGCGTTCTCTGAAAGAGCAGCCAGTGCTCTTAACCACTAAGTCACCTCTCCAAAAAGTTTACATGTGTGTACGAGCCTGTGTGAGCTTGTGTACACCACGTGCATGAAGGAGCCAACCAAGACTGGAAAAGGGACTCTGATCCCTTCACACTGGAGTTCAGGCAAGATTGTGAGCCACCATGTGGGTGCTTGGAACCAAACCTACGTTTTTCATTTTTTTCCAGACAGGGGTTCTCTGTGTAGCCTTGGCTGTCCTGGAACTCGCTCTGTAGACCAGGCTGGCCTTGAACTCAAAGATCCACCTGCCTCCGAGGCCTGAGTAGTGCTGGAAGCAAAGGCACCACCCAGCCAGCATTCACTCTTAAGCACTGAGGGTATAAAGCCACATGAGGATGCTAGGTGTAACTGAAGGCTCCAGATTTCTTGTTATGGGGAGAACTCTTCGTGCAATGATTGGACTTCACGGTGAAAGATATTTATGTTTTTACCGTGTGAAAGGCCATCCTTAGGTCCCACGTGTGTCTTTAGACGTTATACTCTTTCGTGTTTCCAAGTGTGGTCTGTTGATCCTGGCGACGGCAGCCTGTTTCTTGGAACACACAGAGAGAATACAGTAAGCGTTGATTAACACTGGGCGAATTTGGGTTTCATTATTGTTTTTGAGATGGGGCTGAATTGCTTAAGATAGCCTGAATATAACTCCATTTTGAAATAAAGATCTTGACTGGGAACTGAATTCAGGTACCAGGAAATATCACAGAATGTACACATGGCAGAAAACAAAGTTAACTCTCCTAGCAACAGCCTCCAGGAAATATAACAGAATAAATGCTTCATAGAAAATAGAGACAAACTCCCTGGCAATAATCAATGGAAATCAGTTGAGAATCGGGTGGGAAAATTCTCCCCAATGTTTCAGATATGGTTTAGAAAAATAGCCATTGTGATTATATGCCTTAGCCATTGTGATTATGTGCCTCAGAAAAGGTCACCCCGCCCTGCTAAACTTCACCCAATTCTGTAACGCCAAGGCTTGTGCCCCCCTGCTTGCTGTCATGGAAACCCCCGGCTCACAGACTTTCCCTTTAAAAATCCTGTTCACTCAGAGCTCGGGGTCCCACTTCTCTACTGCTGCGCCAGTGAGACTTGGGTCCCGAGTTCGATCACTCTCGTAATAAAGCTCTCTTGCAATTGCAAGTCGTCTCCTGGTGGTCTCTGAGGGTCCTGTGAACCTGGCATAACAGGGCCTCATCACATTACTCTTCCTGGGTCTGGAACTTGCTATGTAGATGAGTCCAGCTTAGAACCCAGGAATTCACCAGCCTTTGCCGCCCCAGTACTGGTAGTAAAGGCTTGTACCAAAACAACTAAAGCTGAGGGGATCTTCTAAGAATATAGCATAGGAGGCCGCCTGGGGCGGCACACACCCTTAAGCCTAGCACTGAGAGGCAGTGACAGTCAGATCTCTTGAGTCTGAGGAAAGCCTGGTCTACAGAGTTCCAGGACAGCCAAGACTACACAGAGAAATAAACCCTGTCATGGGGAAAAAATAAAGAAGACTGTACTATAGGGACATAAAAGAAATTTCTGATCTTCAGCACTTTCTCATGTCAGTGTGAGGATGACCACAGTTTTGCCACTGTTGCCGCTTGCCTACCTTCAAGGAATTCTGATGTAAGTCAGAAGGGGAAAGCTTCAGGGGCTGGAACAGTAAAAGCTTTTTGGAAGTGAGACAGGAGTCAGGCCTTGAAGGCGCTGGTACACTTAGAAAACGCTAACAAAGTGCTGAGAATGGGAAAAGCATCTAAAGAGCAGCCTTGTGGACAGAGCTCCCCACCGGGTGTCTGAACCTGCCAGGGGTGTGTTCTACCGAATCTGTTATAAACAGCTCTGACCTAAGGATAAACAACCGGAAACTCTGAGGAAATTTACGTTTCCAAGATTTTTAGCCAAGTAGGCAAAAACTAAAGATTATGAACTGCTGGATTCATGATAAAAAAATTACAATATGGTATCTAAAACGGTTGCTGTGTCATTAAGTGTCTGGAGTGATTGATAACATCTTTGCCCCAGAAAAACCGTGTCAGAGCACAGACTGTCGGTCATAGACCTTGAGGGGGGCGGATACTAAGCAAAACTGCAGGGACAGGGTCCCCTGTGCCTCCAGAGGGCAGTGCTGCTTTCGCAGAAGACAGACCTCCGAGGTTCTTTGGAGGCAGCTGATGGGGGTCAGGTTTATGTTGGAGCAAGCAGGCAAAAAGCAAAAGCTTCCTTTTTCCCTTGTCTTTTTATATTTGCTGCTACCAGGAGGTGTGGCCCGGACTTAGGGTGGGTCTTCCCTCAAATGATCCAATCAAGAAGAGCTCTCATAAGCCTGCCCAGCAGCTAGCTTGGGTTTTACCTGATTCCAGCCGTAGTCAAAATGACAACCAAGATTAGCCACCGCGAATTAAACTATGGTGACAAACTTTAGAATTAGCACACACAACCCCAACTGTATTTCTATTGACACTACAGATCTCACAGACCCTTCCTAATCCTCTCCCCAACCCACCTCACAAGCTCCCAGGCCTGGGACTGAGCCCCTGGACTCCAGACCTCGGCTCTCCCAGCCTAGGCTACTCTCCCTCCCCGACCCGACCTCATGATTCTGCTGGAAACCAGCCCTTGGAGGCCTTTGGCTTTTGTTTTGTTCACAGGTACTGACCACTCTTGCAATCAGGTGCCTCTCTACCTCACTCTGGGGAGGTAGAGGGACTCAGGGCAGCAAGCAGATCTGTGCTGTTCACTGACTTAAGGACCCAGAGTAGAAAATGCCTAGGTGCCCATGTAACCAGAAAAGAACAGGGGGCTGGAGAGATGGCTCAGCAGTTAGGAGCACTGAATGCTCTCCCAAATGACCCGGGTTCAACTCCCAGCACCTACTGGGCAGTTTACAACTGTCTGTAACTCCAGTTCTAAGGGATCTGACTCCCTTAAACAGACAGATCAATGTACATTAAATAAATAAACACATATTGAAAAAGAAAGCAAGCCAAGAAACGCCCTCAACTTCAAAGAAAACAGGTAACTATACACCTTGTATTCAGAGTTGCATCCCAGAAAGTACCAGTTATATAACAATGGATTAAAAAAGCACAAACGGCAAACTCTTTTAACCCTCTACTCCTCTCCACACCCCCTTGGCAGGCCTGGCCCCGAGAACCCGGTTCCTACCCGGCAAGAAAAGAAGGCGACCGACCACCCGGAGGAAACTTTTTCTCCCAAGCACCCACAGCCCGGTGTGCAAACTACTCACCAGGCGACGGCCCTAGGGGACCACAGAGCAAGGGAAAGAAGGTGGCTCTGCGGGGAACAGGGAGGGACCTCTCGGGAAACGAAACTGAAACTCTGCAGCCCGGGTCTCTGGGGCGGGACGCGCCTTGGCTCTGTCCCTGGCTGTGTAGTGTCCCTGAGCCCTTAGCGAGCCAGACGCGGACAGCCATGGCCTCCAGTGTCTGCCCGCCGTCCCCGCTACTCGTGCGGCTGTCGGAGTCCATCCCCCGGGCGCACAGGAAGCTAGAGAAATACTTTCAGAGCCGGGCTTCAGGCGGCGGGGAGTGCACCGTCCAGCCCGTGGGCCCCAGCGCCCCGGACACCTTCGAGGTCAAGTTCCTAGAAAGGACAGGTGAGCCGCGACAGGGGGATACAGGGCCAAGCTCGGGGACAAAGGCGGAGCCTGCAGGTTCCCAAACAGGGGAGTGCGGAACCGCCTGTGGGGGACTGCACACTTCCTCCATCCCTCTCCAGCAGAGGACAGAGCCTTCGCTGTGCCCAGCCCCTGACCTGGTTTGACTGCTTGGGAGAGCTACTTTCCATTTCCTGCTGCCTTGCTGAGAAGAGAAACCAAGTGTGGGGGTTGGGATTGAGCGGGAAACCCAGAGCCCACTGCTCCACCACTGAGTTAGACTCCAAGCCAAATGATTCCACTGACTTTTTTTTTTAAGGATCACAAAAGTAAAAAAAAAAAAAAAAAAAAAAAAAAAAAAAAAAAAAAAAATATGAAAAAAGTGGGAATGTTTTTTTTCTTTTTTTTTTTTTTTTTTTTTTTTTTTGGGGGGGGGGGGTTGTTTTTATTTGATTGTTCTTTTGTTTGTTTGTTTTTCAAGACAGGGTTTCTAAGTATAGCCCTGGCTGTCTTGAAATTAGCTGTGTAGACCAGGCTGGCCTTGAACTCACAGAGATCTGCCTGCCCTTGCTGGGTTTAAAGGTGTGTGGTGCCCCACTAATGACCTCAATGGGAACATTTTCATGAGTTCTTTTCTGTGCATCAACTAATGCATACATATTTATATCATTCTAAACTTTTGGATTCTTGGTTTTTGGGGATTCCCACTTAACTATATAATTAGTATTCTGTCATTGAAATGAAAGACTCAGGACCATTACGAACACATGAGTTCTCCCCTACCCCCAACACACACATATACGTACCCCTTTAAGACAAGATCTTGCCATGTACCCTTAGCTGGCCTTGAACTCATGATTCTTCTATCCCTACCATTTTAGCGCTAGGATTATGGGTGTGTACCAACATTCCCAGACTAGAAACATGGCTTCTTAACAACCAAATGATACTCTGTAGTAAAACTTAAACTGCCTACCTTCAAGTTCTGAATAGTTTCTTTCATCAACAACCTGCTATTCCAGAACGGCAGAAACAGCTGCTCGGGCCCTCCATAGGCATTTATCCCTGTTGTGCGACAAAACTTTTCCTGGGGAGACACACACGCACATCTACTCACCTCAGATAAGGACCCCACCACAGACCAAAGTACGGATACCACCACAGTTCAACATGAAGAACCAATGAGTTTATTGGGGTTACTTACAGGAATATGGGTGAGAGGAACAGAAATGAGCCCACACCAGTATAGGTGACGGCTCACAAACCTGGGAACCTGGAGCACACTGCACAGTCTGCAGGCAGCTCAACAGGTGGGAGAGTTTCCTTTCCAGGTGCCTCCGTTGGTCTAAACCTCCTCCAGGCAGAGTTAGTGTCTGCTTCTTCCAGGCAGCTGCTCTGACATCAATGACTTCCCTGAGAGTCTCGTTTGCAGACCTTTAATTGGTCTTCATAGCAGATCTGTTCTTCGAGTCTCAGAAGGGCTCTCAGCAGTCTTTATTCTCGGCAGTCTTTATTGCTTGCTCTGGTAGGCGGGGTCTATTGAGTCTGGTCAGTTTCAGGCACTTCCTGAAGGTATTTTGAATTGTTTACTTTCTTGCTTAAGGAACTGCTTTGCAGGGTTGAATGTTTCAATCTTGAGGAAATTGACACAACAGTTCCACACCGAAACAATACAGTATAACATCCGTTTCTATAATGTTTACCTTGTATGAGGGATTAAAAAATCACGTAGAGATTCTTAAAAGTATGTGGAAGTCTGGGCAGTGGTGGCACATGCCTTTTATCCCAGCACTCTGGAGGCAGAGGCAGGCAGATCTCTGTAAGTTCAAGGCCAGCCTGGTCTACAAAGGAGTTTTAGGAAAACAAGGGCTATAAGTAGTCAGACCCTATCTCAAAAACAAACAAAAAAAACAGTTAAAAAAAACAAGCAAACAGAAAAACAGCATATGAGAGAATATGGGTAGCTTATGTGAAAGTCCTAAGCTTGTTAGGGAATCCCTGGATTTTGGAGTTCCTAGAATCAACCCTGAGGGACACTGAGTATCATCCCTGAAAATTCTCTTATTTCTGTCTGAACATGTGTGTTTAATGTTTTCCCTGAAGCTAAGGAGAAAGTGTTGAAAAAGAGAGAACACCATACGCTAATCAATGACAAATCTGTCACCATTTTCCTGGAAACCATTAAAAAGCCAGTAGAGGACCTGAAACCCAGAACTCCATCCTTAACACAGCCAGCTGAGACACCCAGCTCCAGATCTTCATCCTCGATAGAATCCCTGGAGGAAGTACTGTGTGATGAGATGCACCCCAGTGATGGGCCTGTCTTTAACTCGGTTGACTCTATTGTCCAAAAGGTGAGTGCTGACAGAACAGCTGACATGATTCCCACAACTGCCCCTGCGGTCAACGCACCTGCCTATTTGGTTCAAAAGCCTTGTGCCGGGGACTAGACGAGGTAGGCGCTGGTCTAGGCACTGGAATACAGAGGTGAACAAAGAGGGACAAGATCCCTGTCCTCGTGCAGCTTGCTTTGGGGTCAAGAGGTACACAGACCGTAATCGAGTAAATGAACTGAGTAGAAGTACTTCAAAGAATGAGACTTGATAGGAGAATAAAACCAGAGTTTTGCCTCACGGAGGAACAGGGTGGGGGCTTGCAAGGGGAAGTTGGGAAAAGAACTTCTTCATGAGGTGACATTTAGCCTGCTGGGGTTTAAATGATAAGAGAGCATCAGCCATTAAAGAAAAAAAAAAAAATGCATCCAAATAGATAGAGACTGCTTTCTGTGTGCCAGGCACTGTTGTAGTGCTTGGGGCACAGGCACATTGCAGGCTGCTCTTAGGGCCCTTAACTATCTAGTAGGGGAAACGGAGAATAATAAATAGATTTATGATATAATTCTTTCCAGCAACACGTGCAGGAAGAATAAAGGAGCATAAGTGACTGTGACAGAAACACTCTCAAAAATTGGGTGTAAAAAAACAAGCAAACCCAAATGATGCTCCATCTGAAGAACAGGAATAAATTAAAGCACCTGGCCACGTGGTTTGTAATAGCAGCTTTCTAGGCTGGGGGTAGGACAGGCCTAGGCCTCACAAGAAGTGAGCTTAGACGTTTCAAGCAGGCAAGAATAGGGGGAGGGCAGTGAGCAGGGAGAGAGGTAGGAACTGGTGAGGGTCCTGTGACGGTGGGGCTGAGGGTTTTAACTTCAGTGTGGATCTTTGCCTGGTGTCTCGAAGCCTGGTAGTGAGGGATCTGGATTGCATTTGTGGATCACTCTGTGCTGGGTTGAAGCATAGATACAGGGAAGGGCCAGACTGCATGGAGTAGGGTGAATGATGATGACAACCTAGATTCTAGATGGTCCTGATAGGCAGGTGAAAAGGAGGCTGAATTTTGGAAACATCTTGAAGCTCTAACCTAGAGAAAGAATGTCCCTGGTGGATTAAAGAGCATCTGCAGACTCCTTGAGTGGGAACAAATCATCATTAATTTTGCTTTTATATTACACTCAGTTTGCCTATATACCTTTTTATCCAAATCTGGTATTTCTGTTTCATCACTGAACTTTTAAGAACCACAGTTTAAAAGACTTAATAACTTCGCATGAGTTACATGTTTCATTATTGGGGTTTTCTTTTTCTTTTATTTATTTATTTTTGATTTCTCGAGACAGGGTTTCTCTGTGTAGCCCTGGCTGTCCTGGTCACTGTGTAGACCAGCCTGGCCTCAAACTCAGAGATCTTCCTGCCTCTGCCTCCCAAGTGCTGGGATCAAAGGTGTTCAGACACCACCTCCTGGCTGCTTTCAGGTTTTCTTTAAAAAAAAAAAAAAAAAGCGTATTGATGTGGGGTGAGGGCAAGAATCCTTGGATTTATAGCTAGCTTCAACACTCATAAACTCTCGAGCACCACAGCAACTTCAAGGAAAGCAGAGATGCCTTCTCTCCACCCTTAGTACCCAGGGTCAAGCATATAGTGGTAGCTCTAAACACAGATCTCTTGGCCACAGAGTTTTAGAAAATGTTCGTGCGCGGGCTTCATTGCAAACCAGTTACACAAGCCTCTTCAAGGAGCCGTGGTCTTGGCTTTCTTTTTTAATTCACCAGCAAGGTGAGTCTACTGTGCAAATGGGGTTGACAAATCTGCCTTGAGGGGGCTGTTCCTCTCAGAAGACTAAAAGAAGTCAGACCCTGCTAAGAAAAAAATAAAATAAAATAAAATAAAATAAAATAAAATAAAATAAAATAAAGGCAGTGATCGCAGCCAGACTTGGTGGTGCTTGCCTGTCGTCCCAACACTCTGGGAAGCAAAGGCAGGTTAATCTGTGTGAGTTCGAGAGCAGCCTGGTCTACAAAGCAAATCCAGGACAGCTAGGGTGACATAGAGAAACCCTGTTTCAAAAAACCAAAACAGAAGCAAACAAAAAGAAGGCGGTGGTCATCTAAGTAGTTCCTGGATGTCTTCCTGAAGAGGGAGTCAGTAGCTGAGGCATCTTATTGCATCTCTTCCTTTTAACCCTTCAGGTCTTTCTTGCTGTGACTGCTGAGCTGAACTGTGACCTGCTCTCCAAAGAGCAGCGGGCTCACATAACCACCGTCTGCCCTCATATCAAAGGGCTGGTGGGTAGTGAGGGAATTGAGAAGGTGTGTGGCAGCTTCGAAGACATTGAAAAGATACATCACTTCTTGAGTGAGCAGCTTTTGGAAAGTGAGCGGGAGCAGAAGTACCTCCCACAGAAAGACCCGCCCTCCGATACGGAGAGGGAGCAACCGTGTCAGAACAATTTTGAAGTTTCCGAGCTTTTCCTTGAATATTTCAGACATGCCTATCCTAATAGTATAGAGTCCATAGAGAAAGAATTTCGTGTAAACTTTGAAATCCGAGATAGTACCCCCAATATGGTCTCCGTGGGCTTCACCTCTGGCCAATCGGGCAACTTAGAAGAAGCCCGTGATTCTTTTGTCAGAAAGTTTCAGGAATGCACACAGTCTCTGAAGCAAGATTCCATCTCCCTAGAGGACCATGAGAGAGCAAAGGAAGTCAGAGAGGAGTTGACGGGCCGCTTTCCAAAGCTCCTGATCAAGGGACAGGGAAGAACGCTCACTCTCCTCGGAACTCAGGGTGACATTGCAGCCGCCACAGAAAAAGTCTCCCAAACGTTTGTCAAGACTGTCAAGACACCCGTGGTGAAGATAACGGCATCTGGTTACCTGACAGGGATTGAGGTAGATTCGGCTCGCTTTAACCTCCTAAAACCTGAATTGCTCCAGGAAATCTCAGAGATAGAGCAGAGGTACAACACTTGTGGGCAAGTCCAGGAAAAAGGTCAGAAAACCTGCATTGTCTTTGTCCCCAAGGACAAGGAGGTAGACCTGTCCGTGCACTCTTACACAAGTTTCATTGACGCCTTCCAGCATGCCACGAGCCAGCTGAGGACAGAAGCCCTGTCGCTGAAACAGTTGGGCAGGGAGAGAGCTCGCTTACAGAAGACGAAGTTCGTTGACGACTTAAGAAAAAAGCACCCAAATGTACACTTTGTGGTGTCCCAAGAGTCACTGACCTTGACTGGTTTGCGGAGTCACCTCACACAGGCCATGCAGTATGTCTTCAAAAGAATGGGACTGTCCCCACCGTCCGGAGAGAAACCGAACGTGGATGGTGAAACGGCCATGGATGTCGACGGGAATGACTCAAATGCGGCCTCACCTCCTCCTGGAGGCTCCGCGAGTAGCTCCTCGGCCTCGAAGGTGAACGAGAACAAAGACTACTGTGTCATCTGCATGGATACCATTACTAACAAGCACGTGCTCTCCAAATGCAAGCATGAATTCTGCACTTCTTGTATCACCAAGTACATGTCCATCAAGCCTGTCTGTCCCGTGTGTCAGACCTCCTATGGTGTCCAGAGAGGGAACCAGCCAGATGGAACCATGACTCACACCAGAGTAGGTCATTCACTTCCCGGTTACGAAGGCTGTGGTACAATTATGATTTGCTACGATATGAAAGGTGGCGTCCAAACAGTAAGTGTGTCTGAGGAATGTGGGTCTCCTTCCGTGAAGCCAGAATTACCAGAGCCCCAGGGGTCATCCTGTAGCCTCTTAGATAATGATTTTCCCCAGGAAATCAGTCACTATGGGTAGGGACATCTAATAGAGGCAAAGGTCATGTTGCTTGCTTACATGCCTTTTTCATTATTTTGACAGTGTAGGGGCATGTCCTGGCTTTGGGCATGCCATGCAAACACTCTCCTGAGCCACACCCCTAGCCTTTCCTGTCTTATTTTAAAGGTAGAAATCATATGTTACGATGGGAGGAGTTGAGTAGGCAGTGTTCTAATTTGAAATGAACTATGAATTATTCAGAGTATGTGTAAAATGTCAGACTTTTCTTTCAATAAGCATCATCTGCAATGAGCACAACTTTACTGTAGTAAAATTCAGAGGCATATATACATATATACACACACGTGTGTGTGTGTGTGTGTGTGTGTGTGTGTGTGTGTGTGTGTGTGTG